GCTATTAAATATTGATTGGGTTACCAATGAAATCAAAGAAGAAATTCGAAACATCCTGGAAACTAATGACAATGAAAACACAACAATCCAAAACCTATGGGACACAATGAAAGCAGTCCTGAGAGGGAAGTTTATAGCTCTACAGGCCTATCTCAAAAAACAAGAAAAAATGGTAGTAAATCATCTAACTCTACAACTCAAAGAATTAGAAAGAGAGCAACAAGAAAACCCCAGAGTGAGCAGAAGGAAGGAGATAATAAAGATTAGAGCAGAAATAAATGACATAGAGACCAAAAAAACAATACAGAAAATCAATGAAACCAAGAGCTGGTTCTTTGAAAGGATAAACAAGATTGACAAACCTCTAGCCAGACTCACCAAGAAGCAAAGAGAGAGGACCCAAATAAACAAAATCAGAAACGATAGAGGCGAAATAACAACAGACCCCACAGAAATACAAATGATTGTTAAAAAATACTATGGACAGCTCTACTCCAACAAACTAGACAACCTGGAGGAAATGGACAAATTCCTAGAAAAATACAACATTCCAAAACTCAATCAGGAAGAATCTAAAAATCTCAACAGGCCAATAACTATGGAAGAAATTGAAGCAGTCATCAAAAAGCTTCCAGCAAACAAAAGCCCAGGACCAGACGGCTTCACAGGGGAGTTTTACCAAACATTCAAGGAAGAACTAAAACCTATCCTCCTCAGACTACTACAAAAAATTCAAGAGGAAGGAACACTTCCAAGCTCATTCTATGAAGCCAGCATCACCCTAATACCAAAACCAGGTAAAGACAACACAATGAAAGAGAATTACAGGCCAATATCCCTCATGAACATAGATGCCAAAATCCTCAACAAAATCTTAGCAAATCGGATCCAGCAGTACATCAGAAAGATCATACACCATGACCAAGTAGGATTTATCCCAGGGATGCAAGGATGGTACAATATCCGCAAATCAATAAACGTGATACATCACATAAACAAATTGAAAGAAAAAAACCACATGGTCATATCAATTGATGCAGAAAAAGCATTTGACAAAATTCAACACCCATTTTTGATAAAAGCTCTCAGCAAGGTGGGAGTAGAAGGATCATACCTCAACATAATAAAAGCCATATATGACAGGCCCACAGCCAACATCATACTCAATGGACAAAAACTAACACCATTTCCCCTAAGAACAGGAACAAGAGAGGGATGCCCCCTCTCACCACTCCTGTTCAACATAGTACTGGAAGTGTTAGCCATTGCAATTCGGCAAGAAGAAGAAATAAAAGGCATCCAAATTGGAAAAGAGGAAGTAAAACTGTCCTTATTTGCAGACGACATGATATTATACATACAAAACCCTAGAGACTCCATCAAAAAGCTACTGGACTTAATACATGAATTTGGCAATGTAGCAGGATACAAAATTAACCCCAAGAAATCCGAGGCATTTCTATACACCAATAGTGAACTTTCAGAAAGAGAGATTATAAAAACAATCCCGTTTACCATCGCACCAAAAAAATTAAGCTACCTAGGAATAAACTTAACTAAAGAGGTAAAAGACCTCTACTCAGAAAACTACAGGACGTTGAAAAAAGATATAGAGGAAGACATAAACAGATGGAAGAACATACCGTGTTCATGGATTGGTAGAATCAACATCATTAAAATGTCCATACTACCCAAAGCAATCTATAAATTCAACGCACTTCCCATTAAAATACCAACAGCATACTTCAGAGATCTAGAACGAACTCTCCAAAAATTCATCTGGAATAAAAAAAGACCTCGAATAGCTGCAGCAATCCTGAAAAAGACCAAAGTAGGTGGGATCTCAATACCAGATATCAAGATGTATTACAAAGCCACTGTTCTCAAAACTGCCTGGTACTGGCACAAGAATAGGCATATAGATCAATGGAATAGAATAGAGAGCCCAGAAATCGGCCCGAACCAATATGCTCAATTAATATTTGACAAAGGAGGCAAGAGCATACAATGGAGCCAAGATAGTCTCTTCAATAAATGGTGCTGGGAAAATTGGACAGATATATGCAAGAAAATGAAACTAGACCACCAACTTACACCATACACAAAAATAAACTCAAAATGGATAAAGGACTTAAATGTACGACAGGAAACCATAAAAATTCTAGAAGAATCCAAAGGCAACAAAATCTCAGACATATGCCGAAGCAATTTCTTCACTGATACAGCTCCTAGGGCACTTGAAACGAAAGAGAAAATGAACAAATGGGACTACATCAAAATAAAAAGCTTCTGCACAGCAAAAGAAACCATCAACAAAACAACAAGAAAACCCACTTTGTGGGAAAACATATTTGCCAATGTCATATCTGATAAGGGCCTAATCTCCAAAATTTATAGGGAACTCATACAACTTAACAAAAGGAAGATAAACAATCCAATCAAAAAATGGGCAAAGGACCTAAATAGACACCTTTCAAAAGAGGACATTCAGAAAGCCAAGAGACATATGAAAACATGCTCAAAGTCACTAATCATCCGAGAGATGCAAATCAAAACAACAATGAGGTACCATCTCACACCTGTCAGACTGGCTATCATCAACAAATCAACAAACGACAAGTGCTGGAGAGGATGTGGAGAAAAAGGAACACTTGTGCACTGCTGGTGGGAATGCAGACTGGTGCAGCCACTATGGAAGACAGTATGGAGTTTCCTTAAAAAACTGAAAATGGAACTCCCATTTGACCCTGTGGTCCCACTTCTAGGAATATATCCCAAGAAACCAGAAACACCAATCAGAAAGGATATATGCACCCCTATGTTCATAGCAGCACAATTCACCATAGCTAAGATCTGGAAACAGCGTAAGTGCCCATCAGTAGATGAATGGATTAGAAAACTGTGGTACATCTACACGATGGAATACTATGCTGCTCTAAAAAGGAAGGATCTCTTACCATTTGCAACGTCATGGATGGAACTGGAGAGCATTATGCTAAGTGAAATAAGCCAGTCAATGAAGGAAAAATACCACATGATCTCACTCATTCATGGATAATAGAGACCATTATAAACTTTCGAACAATAATAGATACAGAGGCAGAGCTGCCTCAAACAGATTGTCAAACTGCAGCAGGAAGGCCGGGGAGGGTTGCGGGGCAGAAGGTAGGGGGGTAAGAGATCAACTAAAGGACTTGTATGCATGCATATAAGCATAACCAGTGGACATAAGACATTGGGGGATAGGGGAGGCTAGGGGACTGTCTAGGGCGGAGGGATAAAATGGACACATATGTAATACCCTTTGTAATACTTTAAGCAATAAAAAAAAAAATAAAATAAAAAATAAAAAATAAAAAATAAAAAGAAAAATCACATGATCATCTCTATAAATTCTTAAAAACATTTGATAAAAGCCAACATCAATTCCTGATAAAAATTCAGTAAATTGGAAGTAATTGAGAAAAGTCCTTCCCCTAATCAAGGGCATGTATGAAAAAATTTATGGTTAATGGACATTTTTGCAGGTATGCTATGGTCAGTTAAACATGCATATTGTAATCCCTAGACCAAACACTAGAAGTAGCACAAAAGGAGTGAAATAGTCATTTCAACAATGGTGCTGGAAAAATAATCAGTGGTGCATATGGGAAAATAGTGATTTTTAATCCTACCTCACTCCATGTTATAGGGCCCAGAAGCTAACCAATGGTGTTTACATTTTTAAGTGGTTGAAAAAGATTAAAAACCAGTATTTGTGACATACAAAATTTCTGTAAAATTCAGATTTTGGTATCGATACAGGAAGTTTATTGGAGCACAGCCTCGCTCCCTCACGTACACAGTGTCTCTGGCTGCTTTGGCACAGCTGTGACAGAGCTCAGCAGCTGGGACAGAAAACCGGAACTGTTTACAGAAGACTTTTGCTGATTTTGCAAACTTTCATATGAGATGGGTCAGCATTCATTATGACATATAAAGCTCCTGGAAAAAAAAAAGCAGAGCAAATTCTTTTCATGACCTTGGAGTAGCAAAGATTTCTTAGAGAGAACAAAAAATATTCTAATCTTTAAAAAGCACATTTTTCTTTATAAATATTTTGAAATCCTGTTCATCAAAAGAAATCAAGAAAAAATATATATCTGAGGAAGGGCATGTATAAAAAATAAAAATAATTCCTACAAATGAATAATTTTTAAAGGTGAGTAATTCAATTTTAAAAAGATTAAAGAGTTGAATAGGGTGATCTTACCCCCACCCCTGCCCCACCCCCAAAAAAGGATCTATTAGTAGGCACTTCATAGAGGGTTTATTTCCAGCTGTGTAGGAGCATTTTTGGCGGATAGAACCCCATGGTCTACCCTGCCCAAGAATTACCTTTGCTTAAAGACAGCACTTTGCCCAAGGTCCCTCTACCCCCTTCCCAGGACAGCAAATGCATGGTGTCCTCCGTCCTAGAACACTCATTGATGATATTTAGAATTTTATTCCCTATTTGGAAGTATGCATCATGCCTTCCTCACTACCACCTGAAAAGAGTGAACTTGAAACAGGCAAACATCACATCAGCAGGAACTGTGCAGGGTCCCAACCAATCTTGAGGCCTAATTCAGACAGAACCCAGCCAGCCTGGGCAGTGTCAACACCGCTACTGCACAAGTGGCCGCATGGGGGCGCTGTGTATCCACCTAGTGAGCTGAGTGAGCTGCTGATGGGGCCCTGTGGGAGAGGGAGGGTTAAGGGAGAGAGTCTTGGCTTGGTCCCTACATCAGGGAGACTATCTGATGAATCAGAGGTTTGCTGATCATATCTTCTCACACTAACTGCTATGCAGGTGTGTTGGTCACAGCAGGAAGCCATGAGCTTGGCTTGTCTGGAGGTAAGGCTTCTCTTGGAGCCTATGTTTGGTGGAGAGTGTGAGGGAGCTTCCTTCTGTGGGGTAGCCTGGATAATTCAAGTCGGGTGTAGAGCAAGGAGCACATGCTTCTAGGAAACAGAGAAGCTGTGGGGATGACCACAGGCCACAAACCCTGCCTGGACAGCTCAGCACAGCCAGCAGCACCTGTTCATAGTAAGATGGATAGAATAAAGAATGCCTGGAGCAGCTGAGCCTGTCCAGGAGGTGCAAGGTGCCTGTGGAGCCTACAAGGACAGTGACATCACAGGCAAGCCCTCCACTCAGAGCAAAGGGAGGGGTAAAGCCTCTGCTCTCTCACCCTAAGCACCAGAGCCCAGAGCTGGGAGATGGCCAGTCTTGCCCTGTCCAAATCTTCCAGGGACCCTCAGCTCCTCTGCTGCTTGGCCCTCTGTCTCCTGGGGGCAGGTGAGTCCTAAGTTCAGGTGGGACATCCTTGAACCCAAAGTTCTTAACTGTCACTGCCTGTCCATGTCCTTCCTGTGCTGGTCTCCAGCTTCTGTCTGCTTCCTCCACAGGTTCAGTGGCTGCTGGAGTCACCCAGTCTCCAAGACATGTAATCAAAGGCCAAGGGGGGATGGCCATTCTGAAGTGCCACCCCATCTCCGGACACAGAAGTGTGTACTGGTACCAGCAGACTCTGGGACACGGCCCTCAGTTCCTCATTGAATATTTTGAAAAGAAGGAGAGAGAAAAAGGGAGCATCCCTGATCGGTTCTCAGGAAATCAGTCCAGTGACTACAGCTCTGAGCTGGCCATGAGTGCCTTGCAGCTGGGAGACTCAGCCGTGTATCTCTGTGCCAGCAGCTTAGACACAGCCCTGCAGGGTCAATGGCTTTCTGTACTCAAACCTCCCTGCCCCAGATGAGGATGTCACAGGAGAGGGAGGGGGCCTTAGCAACTTACCAGTATAGGGCTAACTTCTTTTGCAACATCCTCCCTGGCCTGCTGAGCTCAGCCAGAGCTTTCCTGAGTGTCCTCCCAGCTCTGCCAGCACCTTGCAATTCCTAGCACATGGCAGGAACTCCTGCTGTGGTAGATTGGTTGTCCACATTGTGTGTGCTAATGCGAGGTAGACATTGTGTATCCATTTTACAGAAGATAAAATGCTCCATATATGGTTTTATAGCCAGGATGTTGCAGCTCCTGGATGTGCCAAATATTTCACATTTGTCAACCATACATCTCCAGTCCTCAGAAGTCAACATTCCCCCAGAATTCCATGGTGCTGCCTGTGCCTTAGTTAATGGAATACTATGCAACTATACAAAAGAAGTATCTCTCATCCATTGAGACAGCAAGGAGGGACTTGGAGAGTATTATGCTAAGCAAATTAATTCAGTCAGAGAAAGACAAGTATCACATGATCTCACTTAATGTGGAATGTAGTGAACAAAATAGATACATAGACATAGAAGCATGGAACAGAATGACGTACCTCAGAGGGAAGGGGGGAGAGTGGAAAGGGAAGAGCTAACCAAAGAACTAATATGCATATATGCCTAATCCATGGTCATAGACAATAGTGTAGTGAAGGTCTAGGTGGAGGTCGGAACGGGGTGAAGGAGGTCAGCGTGTGTGTGTGTGTGGGGGGGGGGGGGTGCAAAATAAGACATCTATAATACTTTCAACAATAAAAATAAATTTTATAAAAGTAAAAGAAACAAAATAAAATATAACAGAGCCCTGTCTTTGCCATTTCCAGAGTATCAGAGCAAGTATGCAAAGGTCATCCATCATGTTTGGTTACACAGCTGATTTCCTGCCAACTTCTAGGATACAGAACTTCAAGCCAGAGAACATGTCTGTCCTGTCCTAGTTCACATAGAGCGAGACCATGATGTCCCTCCAATAAAGGAGCTAAGGAACTATGGGATTTCCAGACTAGCAGAAGGTTCACCAAGAAAACAGAAGCCCTCTAGGAATTGCAGGCAGGATTCTGGGGGTTACTGCAGGGAATCAGTGTTTCTAAACCACTGGAAGGTGTGGAGGAAGGAGGGTCTCAGCTTGCCTAAACTTTCCATCAGAACATCTGAAATCGCTACTTCTGCCCAGGTCAGGAACTGCAGAAAACAGCTGAGCATCACAGCTATTAAATGAATGGTGTAGACCAGTGGTTCTCGACCTTGGCTGCACATTAGAATCACCTGGGAATCTTTTTAAAATCCTGATTTCTGGGCCTCATCCTCTGGAAATTCTGTTTCTTTGTTACTAATGTTGTGGCCCCACCCCATAACAAAGAAACAGAATTTCCGGAGGATGAGGCCCAGAAATCAGGATTTTAAAAAGATTCCCAGGTGATTCTAATGTGCAGCCAAGGTTGAGAACCACTGGTGTAGACATTTACAGACTGGGATACAAGTTTATCAATGAATGCAGACGACTTTAATTCTATTCATTTTGTGCATTTAATCCAATTACCTTATTCGTTGCTCATTTTCTGTGAGGTAGCACACAAATTACCCAGGTTACAGGTGAAAACACTGATTGTTAGACAGTTTGGATAATTTGCTAAAGGAGGCAAAGCTAACAAATATCAGAACAGGGATTAAAACATGGGCCATACTGACTTCCACCCATACTTTAAATCACCCCACCCTTCTGCATTTGGTGGGAGGAGGCATCTGCAAAATGGGAATATGGATCCAAAAATTCCTGTCAGAAATGCAGGCTCTAACACAAATCATTTGCCTAACAGCTTTCATCTGGGAAGGGACATGCTGAAGAGGAAAGAGATCCAGCTTTGGGAACCTGTCTGTTCATATTCTGACCTGTATTGGGGTGGTGACTCAGAAACTATTTGTCTGAATATTTGCATTTGTAACCTGGGGCCAATAATTTGTGTCATGCAGAGATTTGCACAAGCAAATAAAACAAATTGTTTAATAAAAAATATAGGCTCAATTAATCTTTGTTCTCTATAAACTGTGATAAATCTCTAGTCTAGGACATTTACTACTAGACACCTGGTGCACGGACTTGTGCCAGATGAGGTCCCTAGGCCTGGCCTGCGGGGATCAGGCTGAAACCAACCTCCAACATCCCCCGAGGGGTCCTGGATTGTGAGAGGACAGTTCTCGGGTGTTGCACCCTGGAATTGGGTTCCCTCCTCTCTGGTTCTGGGTGCATCACCCGAGAACCGCAGCTGCCAAGTCACCGCAGCTTGGCAGCTCCTGCATTGAGCGGCTGCCCCTGGTGGTCATTGCATGTCATAGCTACTGGTCAGACAGTCGGGTGATCAGATGATCGCTTAGGCTTTTATATATATACTAGAGGCCTGGTGCACAAAAATTTTTGCACTGGGGGGGGGGGGTCCCCTCAGCCCGGCCTGTGCCCTCTCACAGTCTGGGACCCCTCAGGGGATGACCACCTGCTGGATTAGGCCCACTCCCCAGGGGATTGGGCCTAAACTGGCAATAAGACATCCCTTTGGCAGCCAGGGAACCCTTGGGGATGTCCACTTGCCAGCAGGGAGCAGGCCTAAGCTGCAGTCAGACATCCTTAGCACTGCTGAGGAGGCGGGAGAAACTCCCACCACCTTCGCTGTACTGACAGCCATCAGCCAGGCTTGTGGATGAACAGAGCTCCCCCTGTGGGAGCGCACTGACTACCGGGGGGCAGCTCCTGCATTGAGTGTCTGCCCCCTGGTGGTCAGTGTGTGTCATAGTGACCAGTCATTTCCAGTCGTTCTGCTGTTAGGGTCAGTTGGCATATTACCCTTTTACTATATAGGATAGAGGCCTGGTACATGGGAGGGGGCCGGCTAGTTTGCCCTGAAGGGTATCCCGGATCAGGGTGGGGGTCCCGCTGGGGTGCCTGGCCAGCCTGGGTGAGGGGCTGATGGTTGTTTGCAGGCTGGTCAAGCCCCCCCCCCCAGTAGGGACCCTCACCCTATGGAGGTTGGGCCAGTCTGGGTGAGGGGCTGAGGGCCATTTTCAGGCTAGCCAAGCCCCCCCTGGGGATGGAAGTTCCCAGCCTCTCCTTTTTTTCTTTTTTCTTTTTTATTATGAGATTTATTTACCTTCTATAATTGAAACTTTATAGCCTTGAGTGGAGCTCAGAGCTGGCCAGGGTGGGCAGGAAGCTTGGCTTCCTCCATCCCCAGGGGCAACCCAAGCCTCCTGCTCGCTCCAGCTCCATGGCTGCAGGCCGCCATCTTGGTTGGGTTAATTTGCATATAGTCGCTCTGATTGGCTGGTGGGCGTGGTTTAAGGCATAGTGAAGGTACAGTCAATTTGCATGTTTGTCTTTTATTAGATTAAACAGATGTGCAGTTCTGGGATGAAAGGCAGCCATGGGTTACTTTTGCCTGATTCATCTATGGTTCAGAAAGAAACTCCTCTGAAATGCTAATACTTTTGTCTGATAATTTATTGGGTGAAATTAATTACACAGAGGTGATTCTTAAGGGAAAATAAATATGGGACCAAGGAAAGCACTTCCTGTTTGATGTTAAGTCTGATGTACAAAAAGGTGTGGTACTACCAGAAAGTTGTGGCTTCAGAGTGACTGGTGATCACACAGAAGATCTGATGGAAGGGACAGTTTTGTGTGAAGAGAGACCATCATAGTGGAGCCTCTAGTGCCCTCATCCATCCCCGGCCCACCTCTGGTATGAGCCTCAGCTGCAGTGGAGAATTACATACAAGTTTGTGTGCATTTACCTGGTTCTGACAGCACCCCATCTTCTGCAGGCTGGGTGTCCCTCTTCTTTCTGCTCTGGCCTCCTCTCTATCATGGGAGCCCACATGGCCTGCACAGCAGGGCAGCCAGAGCTGCAGAAGTGCTAATGCTCCTGGAAGGAAAGGAGCCAGGGATGAAAGCTCAGCCTCTGTATCCAGGAAGACAGTTCAGGCGGTGGTCTGTGTGCTTCTCTGCAGATTCCAACAAAATCCATAAATCCATCTCCCAATGTGCCTGTATAACTGCAATATTGTACCTTATCCTAGATTTCTCCTTCACTATTTCTTTCTCCCTGCTCTCTTTCTCTTGCTTCCTGAGATTATTTTCAAAATAAACTACTTGCACCTAAGTCCTCATCTCAGACTGTGCCTCCAGGGGCCAGCCTAAATGGTAACAATATGGAAGGAAGTGACCATCATTTTTATTTCATCCATTCTGCCATCTATTAATTTTAAAAGCCTAATAAAAGCAAAAGTCTTATAATAACTTATAGGAATGAATCTTTTCCCCATTTATTTTGATTAATTTTGAATTCTCAACAGACTCACATGGGTTGTTGCTCCCTTCAAGCTCTGAACCTATGTATAACTGACTAGAATGGGTTATCTTTACAGAAGTGGAGTCTGCCTGGACTCTTATAACCATTCATTCCTTTCATCATTCATTCAACAAACACTAAATAAATACAGGTACAGAGTAGTTTGGGATTTGTGGGTTGAAAGCTATGAAAATTTAGAGGGCTTTTTTTGGTTAATCCTCACCTGAGGAAATTTTTGCATTGATTTTTAGAAAGAGTGGAAGGGAGGGTGGGGGGACCAAGAGAAATATCAATGTGAGAGAGACACATTGATTGGTTGCATTTTGCACATGCCCCAACCTGAGCCGGGGATCCAGCCTGCAACTGAGGTACATGCCCTTGACTGGAATCTAACCCAGGACCCTGCAGTCCACGTGCTGACGCTTTATCCACTAAGACAAACCAGCCAGGGCTGATTTAGGTAGCTTTTTGAAAAAGAGAATAACATTTTTTGTAGATGTCTTCTAAAGGTCCTGTGTACATGAGAAGGCCTGGCATTATTCTTCATTGTCCACATAGCAAACCTCCCTTCACTATTTAACATGAATAAGCACTACTCCGGGTGCATGGGAGACACCACTGCAAAAAAAACACAAAAACACAAAAAACAGCTTTGAGATGAGGTGCATGTTTTCTGCAATATCAAATCTGTGGCTCTAATTGATTAAAAATACTTTA